GTCTTCCCACCGCCTCGGTGTCGAATTAGGAGATAAAAATTGACGTATAAATTGGAAATAGCTTTTAGTGCACTATCGGGGGGGGGGGCAGTTTTTTTGCATAGCATAGGATTTTTCGACCAAACCACAGAATCCTAATATGAGTAAAAAATGTTGCTACACAGTTTTACTACTACCGTTAAACTAAAAACTAAAAAAAATTCGAGAAAAAAAAGCATTTTTCTAACTTTATTTAGTCGAGTATCGACTAAAATTTAAGAATTTAATCAGTTTTAAGATTTTCTATAAAGTCGGCCGGACCAAAGACTATTCAATTTAGCTAAAAACATGAAAATCTTAGGCTCAACATAAGCTTAGCTCAAGCTTAGGCTTTACTTCGCATTAGGCTTAGATTGAGCTTGATCATAACTCTGGGCTCCGCTTATACTTTCTTGAGCATGAGCCGCAAGCTCCTTCCAGGCCCCAATAATTTTGTTCTTACCTGTATCCTCGACTCAGGCAAGTCCACCATTTTGGCCAGACGGTCGCGCGTCGCCAGGTCGGGGTATTGGCAGTTGTTGAAGCAACGCTCGAGCTCCTGTAAAAGTGGGTGTTAAAAATTCCTTCTCTCTCTCTCGCTCTCTATCTCTCACTATCTCTCTCGCTATCTCTCACTCACCTCAAGCTGTTTATCACTGAAGGCGGTACGCGAACGTCTTGCCGTCGACTTTTTCTCATCTGGTTGTGCAGCTTCGCATCCACTCGAGGATGCTTCCGGTGGGAAGCCGAGCTTTACGAATTCTGGAAGAAAAAGTGCTGCATTAGGCTTAGGCTCATCTTTTAAGCCATTATTGCTGAAACAAATTTTCTAAGAAATTCTAGTGAGATTTTCGATAAATCTATTAAATAACAACGATTTTTAGATTATCGATTTCCACAGATTGGCTGTGAATCCCGACTTCTCAGTTCCTTTAAAACGAAAACCCTGAACTCACCAGTGGCATTCAAATTGAAACAGTATGGCGGATAATAGAGCGATTCGTGCATCGAGCTCCACTACGCGAGAATCCTCTGGACGTGGCTGGTAGGCAAAAGCGCAAAGCGGAGCGACACGGAATGGGGCACCAGATTTGGGCCCCGGGATGGTAGTGGGAGGTCCGCCCATCAGCCATGATTGGGCCCTTGGCTTGGCCATGTTTGGACAGACCCCCCGAAAAGCTGGCGGATTACATTCGATGAATGCGATTAGCCAATATGGGGGTGGAGGGGGATAGGCTTCGATTTCACAGCTCATTTCCGGGGGAGGGGGGTCTGGATTTCTTGGGACGTTGCCAGCGGCATATGGTAATACGAGAGATGTCTTGGATTTCATTAAATCTTTTTCTCTATCTCGCGGTGTTCTCGCTCTCGTACACTTTATCTCACGCTCTTTCACTCTCTCGTTCCGTCTAGCTATCTCTCGCTCTCCCCCTCTCCCGCTCGCTCTCACTCTCTCTCACTCTCTCTTTTGGTTGCTGTATCTCTTGCGCTCGTTCTCGTTCTCGTTCTCCCTATCTTTCACTAGCCCCCATAGTTGCCTCTCTCTCTCTCACTCATTCTATCCCTCTGGCTCTCTCTCACTCGCTCTCTCACTCATTATTTCTCTCACTCACTCTCTCTCTCTCTCTCCCTTTCTCTCTCAATATCTGTTTGGTATATAATCAGTTAATAGCTTGCAATTCTCCATTCATAGTATATATTTCCATATTTTACATAGAGATCACACACCGGTAAATATCAAACCAAAAAAAGCTCGTCGAAGCATCCGTAATGCAGTGAATACGAAGAGGAAAAATTGGCACCGAACGGGACAGTGGTTGAGCAATAGGATCGGCAAATTCGAGCATCTAACTAAAGGCTAATAAAGTAGAAATTCGTCGAATGGTCTCTGCTAGCTGGTCCTTGTGAAATTAGTCGCATGGGCTCAGCGTGGCCCACCATTCATTCACGTCGAGGGCCGCCTTCATCGGGCTCTCGCCGAGTTTTGGGGATGGTTGGGCTGGAAAAATGGCTCTCTCTCTCTCTCTGTCTATCTGTCTGTCTCTCTCGTTCTCTCTCTGTTCCCCTCTAACTCGTCTCTCTCTCGCGCTCTCTCTCTCGCACCAACCTCCAGCTTCCTTCTTGTCAAGCCCAAAAGCGTGAGCGATAAAGGCCATTCCTCGACTTGATTCCGGCTCATCAGGGAATGGCTTTGGAGGGGAGAACAGGGCTTCTTCCCTTTCCTCAACGTCTGGGAGGTCGTAGACGGAAAGCTGAAGAGTATATTGTTAAAAGAGGTAATGAACGTGATCCTGCTCTGGTACTTCGTCAAGGATCTCTGTTAAATCTCCTGCGAAATCCCCAAGAATCTCTGCTAGCCTGCCTGTCTGGCTCCTCAAGAATATCTGCTAGCCGGCCTGGATCCTCAAGAATCTCTGCTAGCTTGCCTGTCTGGCTCCTCAAGTATCTTTGCTGGCCTGCCCGTCTGGCTCCCTAACAATTTCTGCTAACCCGCTCAATGATCCCAAATGATCTATGCTAGCCTGCCCCCCCTTCTCACTTCAAAAACCTTACATGAAGCTGCTTGGGTGCGATACTCTTCTTATGTTCCGAAGCGCTCCTCTGTCGGGGTAGTAGTTGTACAGTCTCCTGCTCACTCCTTCTCTTCCCCAGTCTCTCCTTCTTCTCACTCCCTCCCCCTCCTCCTCCTCCTCCTCCCCCTGCTGCCATCAACTTCCGGGCCGCCTCGTGGAAGAGGGTCGATGTCTAAAATAGCGAATTTCTATCGTAACGGATCGTACACACGGGGGTACGGCAGGAAGTACGTTACACTGCAATGCTCACGCAAAAGACTCGTCAAATTCGGGAAGCAAAAACGGGTTAGGGGCGGGGATTCCAGTTTTAAAGGGACCAGGAACGCAAAATCCTGGCCATTCCTGTCCCTTTAAAATACAGTAACTCGAAAAAGACGATGGACTGCGGGGATTAGAGAGAAATAGAGAAAGAGACACTCAATCCACACTTGAAAATGTAAAAAAAAATCGGATTATTTTGCAGGATTAATTAGCAAAAACCGGGGAAATGGTGCCTGGGTCTGGAGGGGCAGGCTAGCAGCGATTCTTTGCGGAATTTTGAGTTCTGAAAAGAGGTTAGAAGTTGTTGTTTGTAGCCACCACCAGTCCCAGGCGCTCCACGGCAAAGAACCCCTTCTCGCGCTCCTCTTTCGGCTTAGCTTAGGCTTAGCTTAGGCTTAGCTTAGCCTTAGCTTAGACTTCGCTTAGGCTTAGCTTAGGCTTAGCTCAGGTTTAGCTGAGTCAGGGACGCTTGAAGGGGCCCAGAAAACCACAAGGGCAGGGTTGTAGTTCGTAGTCTATTAGAGTTGGGGGTAGTGTTGGGTACAGAACGCGTAAAAGGAAACAGCCTCTGGAATACCCTGGATGGGCGGGGGGCGGGCGGTGCCGGCTGGACGATCGTCACCGGAATACCTCCGGAAGGCACCGGGACGACTACCGTAGTCTCGGTTGGCTTGAAAAGGGCACGGAATAGAGTGAATGGAAACGTTTAGGTGAGAGAAAATAAATAAAATTTGGTAATTCAGGAGTGAATGGTGCTGATCTTGGGCTTGATTTGCATTGCTGTTACGGAAACCCGTGCGTGAATGTAAAAATAAGAGAGAGAGAGAGAGAGAGAGAGAGAGTGAGAGAGAGCGGAAGAGAGCGGGAGAGAGAGCGGGAGAGAGATTTTCAACGCAAACGAACTGCAATTACATCGGGAATGCTGCTCCTCCGGTTCTTGATCCCCTTCTTCCGCGTCGGCGGCTCCTTCTTATCCTCATTCTCATCCGAGCCTATAGCTAGCTACCCATTAACTGATTTTTCGAAGCAATCACCAGTCTTTGAGTCGGCATCCTGATTGCCGAAACGGAACTTCGGCACCTCGGATTTGTCAGAGATTGTGGTGGACAGTGATTGGAGGCCTGGAAAGGATAAATTTCCCCAATGTTCTCTGCTAGTCTGCCCTTTGCTCTCAAAAATACTCACCTGCTGACAACGGATTTGGATATTTGTGCATATCGGCGAAAGAGTCTTTCTGTTTCGGGTTACGAATCCTCCGCAGACAAGTCTCCAGCCAAGTTCGGATCGTTTGCTTTGCAACCTAAATTTAAAGTGGCTATAATTCTCTAGGTCAATCATATTTGCGTAAATTGAAGTGAAATTAGTCATCAAATCGATAAAAACCCCACCTCTTCCTCGATGATAAACTCGAGCTCCTCACGTTGCAGCAACTCCTCGAGCTGCAGCGATTTTCGAATGTCCACCGAGCGGTAGGAGAGCATGCTGAAATGGGGAGATGCCGATTGGCTAGCTAGTAGAGGCACTTGCGGAATTTTCTCGAGGGCGTAACTCACTAAAGCACATCGTGGAATGAGACATCGTCGCCATTGTGTAGCCGTTCCATCTCGTAACACATATGTTTGAATAGGATGCGATCCTTATCCGGGTCCACTTCTAACCGGCCTTTTAGGAGTCTGAAAAATCTCTTTATTCTTTCACCCGTAAGCTGTCTCTCTCTCGCTTTCTCTCCTTCTCTCTCTCTCTCTCTCTCGTATTCCATGTTTCTCGCTCTGTCACTCTGGCCCTCTCTCACTCTCCCTCACTCACTCGCTCTCTCGCACTATCGCGGTCGCTCTCTCTTTCACGCACTCTCTCTAGCTCTCTATCATTCGCTCTCTCTCCCTCTCTCGCTTTCTCTCTCTCTCCTCTCTCTCTCTCTATCTCTCTCTCTCTCACCTCAACAAAAACTTGACCCTTCCAACAGGAATTGCCCTCTTCTGCTCCCGATCCACCATATTCCAAACAAGCTGGAAATTCCTGATATCAGCATATGACAGCAGTGCATCCTCTTCACTCGAGTAGAACAGCGAAAAGTTCTCCATAATGATGGCTAAAGCATCCCATTAAATTTCTCAAAAAAAAAACCACGATACCGACGAGGAGATTGCGCACAATATAGGTGATGATCAGGTAGAAGGAGCAGAAATAGATGATGGCCCCGTAGTAGTTGCCACAGTCCGTCTGCCAGTAGTTCATCCCCTCGTGCCAGTAGCAGAACGGGGGGCTGCGCTGGAATTTTCGGTTTGGTTTTGCGTTAATTTTGCCCTGAAAAGTTTCTTAGGGCGTTAAATGGCTTTCCGAAAGGATCTCTGCTAGTCTGCCCAGCTCAAAATAGCCAAAATTTCCTCAAGGACCCCTGCTAGCCGGCCAATGCGCCGCAAAAACCGATTAAAGCGGCTTTTCTCGAGTCTCCGGGTAGCTTTCAAACCCATTTTCTAGCCCGAGAATTCCTGAATTGTCTCTGCTAGTTGCCCTGCTCAAAATTTCCAGTTTTTGTGGAAAAAATGACTTCCAAGTCCCTTACAATCTGCAAATCTGCAAAAAAAATTCTTAAACTTACCATGCAATCATGCATAATATCGTTCCAATCCTCCCCAGTGATGCTCCGAAACAATACAACCAGCGCCTCACTACCCGTTCGGAAATTGACATGTCTAAAGGGGGAGTGACAGGGAATGGCCGGCACTTTTCCCCTACTTGCTGACGGCCTGCCCGTATTTGACCATGCCGAAGAGGATGACGCCCGTATACGCGTAGAACAGCACTAATAGGAACATGGCGGTGATGATGAAAAATGAGCGGAACATCGACATCACCACAGTGTTCATCAGCATTTTCAGGGTGGTGTTGCGGCCTGGAAATGGGCTTATCAAGTTAACGTAGGCTTAGCTTAGGCTTGCTTTTGCTCAGACCTTGGTCTAGCTAAACCTCATGCTCAAATTTTCACTCACCTGCAATCGTAAAAAAGCGCAGAATGACGACAATGTAGCCGAACGTGTAGGTGAACTTCCTCAAATCGGTGCTCAGCTCCATCCGGGGGACGGCGATGAAGAAGTGGAGCACCACCCAGAGAAGCCCTAAGCGGATCTTGGTGGCAAATTTGAATCGTTACCAAGTGCAGTGATGACGAGATCAAGCCGGTTTCGACGGGACTGCCAGAAACCGCTGGCGGTGAATGCTACGACTTTGAGGACGATCTGAAGGAGGTCAGGTTTAGGAAATTTTCTATAGAAGCTCGAAGACGTCTCGCTCTCTCTCTCTCCCTCCCTCTCTCTCTCTCTCTCTCTCTCTCTCTCTCTCTCGCTCACCTCAACGGCAAACAACACATTAATAAGAGCAGCCATCGAAGTAACGGCAAATAGAAACTCCATCCGCTCATCCTCCTCCTCCACATTCCAAGGCACCATCAGGGTCGCCGAGTTCAGCACCACCAGCAGGGCAAAAATCTGGAAACACGGGAAATTAGCGGAAAAAGGGCTTAACTCCCTCACCTGATTAAAAGTGCGGCTCATCGTCAGCTCGTAGAATCGATTCCGAACTCTTTGCACTCTCTGACGGTTTGGGCGGCACGTGGAGTGGCTGGGCCATTTTCAATCGAGCCTTCAGATCGTGCCATCTCCTCTGATCGACGGTGAGAAGAGCCGTTCCTCGGTTCTCCGTGTAGTTGGCGATGACCACGCCCACGAACAGGGTCAGACCGATCATACAGCCGATGAACACGTAGATGTGGATGAAGACGACCGCCCACTGGAATGAGTAAGGGTAGGGAAGGTCAGGTTCAGCCTCGGTTTAGGCTTAGGATCGGCTTAGGCTTAGCTTGAGCTTAGGCTTAGGCTTGGCCTTAGCTTAGGCTTAGCTTTAGGTTAAGCTTAGGCGCTTAGCTTGGGCTTAGGATCGGCTTTGCTTGGGCTTAGGCTTAGCCTGGGCTTTGCTTACCGCTCCATGCCGTTGATACAGTATATCCCGAATGACGTTCCAGCCCTTATACGATAGCGTCTCGAAAAGAGCCAACATCGCATTCCCGATATGATCAAAGTTGAAGTTACGAGGATTGGTCCTAAAATACGCGCATGAAATCGTTTACTTCTTGCTCTCTCTCTCTCTCTCTCTCTCTCTCTCTCTCTCTCGCTCCATAATCTTTACCCACCATACTCGTGGCACCAATATCTTTGGATGAAGGGCTTCATCATTCTTCCCATACACCTCCATCCTCGTGACAAAGATCTTCTGCTCGAATAGGCCAGTGCAGTTGTCACGTGTCGTGATGGTTGGATCATTACAAGCGGCCAGCTTCCCGCCAACGATTTGCACGCCGAAGGAGGCGAAGATGAACATGACCACGATGAGGAGGATGGTTACCTGAAGGTTAAGCTCTTAAGAAACCTTTCCTGCTCTTTCTCTCCCCTCTCTCTCGCTCTCTCTTGCTTGCCTCTCTCTTCCCTTTTCTCTCTTTGTCGGCTGACGCCAAATATTCTCTGCTAGCATGCCCAATCGCCCTCAACCTCACCAACCAATAAAATCTCCTTCAGCCCGCGGAAAAACTCGACGACGACCCTCCGGATGTGCGGAACCAGGGTGTAGATTCTGAAATAAACAATGTTGTCTCTCTCTCTCTCTATCTCTCTCTCGCCACCCAATTTCCTACCGTAATGGCCGCATGGCTCGGCAAATCATAAGCATCTGGGCGAGTGAGTTGATCTCCACCGATTCGGGCATCCAGAACAGGAAGATGACGGACGTCTAGAAAATTCCCTTGATGAGAAAAATTCAGAAGGACCTACAAAGTAGATGAACATTGTCATTACACCGCCCACATCTCGGACGACGGCGTTCGGGGTGAAGAATAGGCCGTTGGAAGTGATTTTGAGGAGCAGCTCGAGGGTCATGCAGAGGACGAACATGTAGTCGGCAATCTGGAGATGAGCACTAAGGTGGGCGGAGAGAGAGAATTAGAAAATGAGGAAAAGAGCAGAGAAGGGAATAAAGCGTCTAAGAAATTGAGATGAACAACATGTCCGAGGAGTTCCACGAGATTAATTGAACGAGAGAGCGCGTGAGTGAGCTTACCCTCAAATAAAAGTTGTTCATCACCAAATAGGCGGCCGTGGTGGGCCAGGGACTCTCAAACAGCATCGACACGCACGAGATGACGGTGATGAACACCATCGACCAGTCCAGGTATGGCATCAGCCCCAACAGCGCGCTAAACGGAGCCCATTCTACCGTACCCACTCGTGACCTACTGTAGCTCCTTATATTGGCGCTGCCCTTTGACGGCCCCTCCAAGCGACGTCTCCTCGCTCATGTCGTACTTTGCGTGCACGATTTTCTTGCAGAATTCGCGGATCTGGAAGGACAATTTTGAAATTTTGCGCGTCTTCGCCTATTTCTTGTCGAAAAATTGGGGCCCCCGTTAATGGAAAAGCACCCCAATATTGAAAATGTTCACCTTCGACGCCCGGCCCACGATAAAGAGAGGCCGATCGAAAAATGGGTGGTTCTCGCGCATGTCCTCTTCGATTCGATTCCTAAAAAGGCAATTTAGATATCGCTTTGAGATGTCACTATCCCTTTAAAAAGTCAAATAGCTACCTGGTGATCTCGGCTAGCTGGCGCTTTTGCTGAAGGGCTCGGATGTCGATTTCGCCCTGCTTGGCGTCCTTTTTGGGAGCAGAATCTGGAATAAATGGTGGCAGGTTTCGCTTAGGCTTGGCCAGGCTTCGGCTTAGATTAGGCCCGGGCCAGAAGCTTGGCTTGGCTTAGCTTAGGACTCGACTTTCTTAGGTTGAGGCTTAAGCACAGGCTTAGGCTTCACAAGGCTTGGGCTTGGCTTGGTTCAGCTTGTGAATTAGGCCTGGTTTAGGCCTAAGCTTAGGCTTGGTCTGGGCTTAGGATTTGGTTTGGGGTTGAGCCCAGGTTTAGGCTTCAGAGAGTTGAGCTTGGCTTAACTTGAATTGAAAATCAGGCCTCGCTGAGGCTTAGGTTTAGGCCTAGGCTTAGGCTTGGGATTAAGGCTTAAGCTCTCTCTCTCTCTCTCTCTCTCTCTCTCTCTCTCTCACCTGACGGCCTTATCATATCCCCATTCTCGAAATGTTCAAAGAATTTCGACTGGAAGGAGGATTGATGTGGGTGGTGGAACATCTTGGACGGTTGCTGTCGGGCTTTGCTGAAGCTGAAAACAGGGAATTACATACCATATCGATAGTATCATTTCGTATTAAAGGGGTTTCGTTCCCGGATCAGCCGATTCCTTACATTCTCTCGGTCCACATTCCCAACATGCCACGGGCCACAGTCCAACAAGGCCGCATTGGGACAAGGGGTTTCTGCTAGTTGGCCCCACCCATTCAAAGGGGAGACACTTTTAGAAGGGATTATTTTTATAATGACCAAATTCATAATGCCAAATTTTTCAAGAGTCGAAATTTTTGCGATTTTTCCAGGTCGAAAACTGTTTGAAGCTTGAAATCGATTCAGGAAATTTCGGCATTATGAAAAGTCGGCATTATCGATTTTGACAGTCTTATCGATCGGCATTAAGTACAGTATGCGCTCGTACGGTAAGTGTAGTGACGCGTAGTTTAGGGCACAGAGAAGAGGGGTGAGTGGGCTACGGTACTCAGGGCCATTCAGGGATACGGTAGCGTACACAGCGAGACTAATTCCGAATTTTAGGGTTAAAAGGCCCACTTGCAAAAAAAAACCCCCCAAAAACCGGAATTACGTATCACTGCGTACTCGCACGACCCCGAATGCCCTGAGGCTACACCCAGAGAGAGATTGATACGCTCCAGATTCCGCTACAATACCTAACGGTCAGCCGGGCCGGCAGCAGTTCGTTGAGTCTAAAAAATGGGGGTGGGGTACGGTAGGCTGGGGGGAGGGAGGGGGAGGGATACGGTAGCCGAGCAGGCAGGCAGGGATGGGAAATATTGGGTGCCATTCACGCGGGTGAACTGAAATGTTCGCCGGGCTGCTCTCTCTCTCTCGCTCTCTCTCTCTCTGTCTATTTTTTCTCCCTCTCTCTCTCTCTCTCTCTCTCTTTCTCTGTCTATCTCTCTCTCTTTTTTCTCGCTCTGGGGGCAGCCATTTTACACTATGAGCACAAAATTGGCAAATTTCCGGCAAAAGCACAGCTCTCCTAAAGGGCCATTGAAGACAGCTGGGGGATTCGGGCGGGCTGGGCACCATGCCGGGTCTTACGGTATCGCATCTTTGCGCCGATGCACCGACTGTGAGAGTCGGGGCAGGAAGTGGAAGGACGAGGCGACCAGCTGACGTGTACGCTCCGAAAAGCTGCAAATGACGCACGACACTTATCAGGGGCATATATATATACAGTTTCGAGGTGCTGGTGTACGGTATATTGGGATGTATGGTAGCTGAACACGATAGGTAGAATTTTTAGCATTTTTTCTTGTTTTTCATTTTTGCCTTTGCAACAACGTCAAGAAATTCCAGGAAATCCTCAAAAATCTCTGCTAGCTAACCCCTACTAAAGTACGACGACTTCAAGGAGTTCATCTTAAAGCAACACTTAAGACACTTGGCAGTTATTTTTGAGGTTTTTATGATTTGAAATTAAACCTAGTAAAGAAGAGAAGAATCCGTAGTTCGTAGACTAAAGTAAATGCGTAAAAATACGGTTAGCCGATCTACGCGGAATTCAACTTTTTCAAGACGTTCAAATAAGCGAAAAACCCCGGCTAATAAGAATTTTTAAGGTTTTTGTATTTTGCTAACTAACGTCTAAAAACCCTCAAAATTTCTGCTCTACTTGATATGAAACATCCTCAAGGAGTTCAGGTGGTTTGAGGCAGCTAACAAGAACTTTTTAGGACTACGAAAACCTAATTTTCTAACATTAAGCAATCTTCTTTGAAACCTTTCATTTTGACTCTCTCTCACTCTCTATCTATCTTTCTGCCTCTCTCTCACTCTCTCTCCCTCTCCCTTTCCCTCTCTCGCTCAGTCTTCATTGCCCACGACATTAGGGGATCCCCAGAATTCACGATGCTCCGGACAAATCAACCAAAAAATGAAAGTGACACGAGCCCCTAGAGTGTGGTGGGTGTGTACGGGCCACGATTCCGGGGGGTGTCTGAGGTTCTAAATGACGACAAAATATTGTGGGTTACGGTAGCAGATCATTTGTTGGACCCACTCGAGGAGGTTGGCGATGGAGGCCTTCATGCTATTGCTGCCGATATGGCGGACGTGGGGCTGGGTACGGTAGTTTTTTCGGCGCGAGGCGGCTAGGCGAAAGACACACTTGGTCATGTCGACTTCTGGAAAATAGAAAAATAAAAAAATACTTGGCTTCTTCTGGCTGTCTGTCTGTGGGTCTGTCTTTCTCACTCTCTCTCATTCTCTCGTTTTCTCGCTTTTTTTTAGCTGGGAGCGATTTGTTTCTCTGCGTTTCAACTGAACAGCTTGAACTCGTTGACTATCAGTAGGTTAGTAGGACAATCTCTGTGTGTCTGTCTGCTTGTATTTCTGTTTTGTCCCTCTCGATCTCTCTCTCTCCCCCGTCACTCTCTCTGTCTCTCTCTCTCAACCTACCCATATCCGGGCTCTCCGGCTCAGCGTGCTCGATCGAGAACTGATGCGTAAAGCTATCCCGCACCTTGAAAAATAGAAGTTGGTTTTCACCAACTTCAACAAGTTCACCTTCGGCATCGGAAACTCCGAGTCCACTTTCTTCATCCGGACCATCTGGGGTCTCGTCGGGAATTTCTCAAATACCCGTAATCGCCATGGTAATGTTGAGCGCATCTCGGTAGTCTGGGATACAGTATTACAGGGTTACTGTGAACGTACCGCTTCTCTGGCCTTCAACTGCTTGACCCTCTTCAGCTCCTCGTCCATCTCGAGGTTGTCGAGGATGACGGCGACGAACAGGGAGAGCACAATCTGAAGAGAGACAGGGATAGAGAGAGAGAGAGGGAGGGAGAGGGGTATTCACTTACCAGGGTCACGAACAGGTGATAGGCGACAAAGTAGATGGCCACGAAGGGGACGACGCCGTCAGGGGTGGCACGGAGAACCTGGAACACTTCTCTTCTTCCTTTATCTTTTTCTTTCTCTCTTTTCTATCGCTCTATCTGTCTCTCTCGCTCTCTATAGCCTGGCCTCCTTGAACTTGTCGCCTACCTCCACCACAAAATCAGTCCATCCCTCCTGCGTTATAATCTGGAACATCGACATGAACGCCTTGGGAAATGTGTGGAAGTGGTCCAAATGCGGCACGGAATTGAACAGCTGCAGCGAGATCGCCGAGGCGATGATGACAAAGGTGATGGTGAAGATGACCAATCCGCCGAGCTTCTTGCCGGGGCTGAAGATCTGCAAAAAATCTTCTCTCTCGCTTTCACGCTCCCTTTCAGACTGGCGCGCTGAAATTTGGGAATCTTCTACGCACCTTCCACACAAAATCCTCCAATATCGGCGAGGCTTTGATGAGGCGAAGCAGGCGGAATGCTTGAAAGTAGGTGAAGTAGTTCCGATCGTAGAAGTACGGGATCAGGTTGAGGGAACTGCCGATGCACAGGATCAACTCGAACCTGCAAAATAGAAATTACGAGATTTCCGGTAAAGGATTTTTTCGAAAATTTCCAAGCAACGAAAAGTCAGCTTGATTTTGGCCCGATATTGCTTCCCAGGCCCTTAAACTTCAGATAACCCTACTTGAAGATGCCCCTCTTGATAAAAGGGCCCCAGCTGAAGCACAAGATTTTCGACAGGCACTCGATGTTGAACAGGATTGTGAAGCCGATCTGAAAAGGCTTTCTATCTCTCTCTCTCTCTATCTCTCTCTCTCTCCTTCTGTAATTTTGTTTGGCTCTAGCTTCTAAGCTACATCTGACAAGAACTGCTTGAACTCCGCGCCCAGCTCCCGATCAATGGCTTTCAGCTCCCCGCTCTCTCGCTCTCTCTCGCTCTCTCTCCTCCCTCTCTTTCTCCCTATCAAGAACTGCTTGAACTCGTCGCCAACCAACCGACTCACCTCAATATACCAGTAATATCTCCTTCTGACCCTGTCCGACTCGTCGTGTTTGTGTACAAACGACGCGTTGATGACGGCGTTGATGAGCACGAAGAAGATGACCAACCCTTGGAAGGCCATCGAGCGCAGGAACTGAAAAGAATTCGTGCTTTTCAGCCAGATTCCGCTTTTGGACAGTTGAAATTGGGGGAGAAGGGCGTCTGGGTAGGGGGAAGCGTAGAACAAAAGAGGGCGTGGATTCGATTACGAGAGGGATTCTTGAATCAGTGAAATCTGTGGAATCCACGCCCCCTTTTTGGAACATTAGGTAGAAGTAGCTGCGTGGATCTCCTCCCTGGGCTCCCTTTTGGGTTTCTTGGCTTGGCTGGCTTAGGCCAGGGCTTAGGGGCCTAACTAGGCTTATTTTAGGCGAGCTTAGGCCTAGGCTTCGGTTTAGCTTAGGCTTAGCTTAGGCTTAGGTTTGGCTTAGGCTTCGCTTTAAGGAGCCAAAGAACCCAAAATGAGAGCCCGTGGAGGAGCCACAGTGGGCCCGATTTGCATTTTGTTGGCACTCACTATCCGCGGGGCTAGCTCGTCGCGAACGTAGGATATTGAGAACTGAAAATGGGTGGGCGCATTAATGGTAGGTGGGTGGAGCATAGGTCAAAAGAAACAGAACATGACTGTACCGCTTGAAGTTTTTGCTTGCGTCCCTCCAAGGCCAGCTCGTCGTCCATGCGGATTAGGCGAAGGCCGTCTTCGGTTTTTCTCGAGTTTCTGAAAGCGAGAGAGTGGATAGGAGGGGGGGGGGGGGGGGGGGGGGGGAGGAGGAGGGAGCGAGAGAGAGAGAGAGAGAGAGAGAGAGAGAGAGAGAGAGAGAGAGAGAGAGAGAGAGAGAGAGAGAATGAACGCGAAAGTGATAGCCAATACCTGCTTGAAGCCGTCATCCACCGTCACCTCCTTCTTCTGCCACATTTCACTGAACTGCACGCGGATCTCGGCGAACGTCTCGGTGATGACGGCGATGAACACATTCTGGAAATCGTGATTTTTAGAGTTCCACGGTCCCTTTAGAATTTTCCTCCCAGCTGTCACAACCCCCTTCAAATTTCGTCCGCCCACCTTGACCAGCCAGGCCAAGAAGAAGATGAGGGTGAGGAAGTAGATGAACGCCAAATGCGAAGGCAGAGAGTCCATACAGTCGTAGAGGACGTACACCCAGCCCTCCTCTGATGCTGCCAGGTAGACGGTAAAGACGGAGGCGCCTAGAATTGAGGAGTTGGACGAGTTCGATCTCACTCTCTCTCTCTCCTCTCTCTCTTCACCCACCAAAATCGTTAAACATCCCGTAGAACCCTTCCGTCTTCGCGTCCATATTCAACCGCATGCAGACCATCGGCGCCGGGCACTCGTAGCCGCCTGGAATTTTGGGCTTGGTTTGTTAAGGTTGGAGCTTAGCTTTGCTGCGTATAATCTTAAGTTGGCGCTAGGCTTAGATTTTGGCTTAGTTGGGCCTAAGCCCAGCCTTAGCCTGTTTCAAATTAAATTTCACGAAAATTAGGCGCCGCTCACCTCCTCCCGGCTGACTGCACATCGTGTCCGGGATGGCCAGGTCGGCGATTGTCACATTGTTCGGGTCGGTGGCTAAATGGCGGATCGGATAGTTTTTCATAAATTCCGTTACTGTCCAAAACACAGTGATAATCCATTCGGCCGAACAATTGGATGCCCATAATGGCATAGAAAGCCATGAAGAACACGAAGAACACCGTCACGTTTTGCACTTGTTGCGAGGAGCGTCTGGAAAAATTCGGGGTTTTCGGTTTCCTGAATTGTCTCTGCTAGCTCGCCTAAATGGTCTTTGCTGGGTCCCCTCAATGGTCTATGCTGAGTTCCCTAAACGGTCTCTGCTGCACCCCAATAGCTTTTGCTAGCGTTCTCCAGTGGTCTCTGCTAGCCCTCCCAAAGGATCCTGATCGCCCTCCCCAATGGTCTCTGCTAGCCCTCCCCAATGGTCTCTGCTAGCCCTCCTCAATGGTCTCTGCTAGCTTGTCGTCCGTTTTTGCTTCAAAATGGCACAGTTAATTATCAGAAACCCACTTTAACAACTGCTCGATGCGATGCTTGGGCAGCTTGAAGTTGATGATCAGCCTCAACAACCGGATGATGATGAACGGGCGAACGGAACGGACAACGGCCAAGGTATCATGGTACGGCAGTCCGAGGTGAGGTAGATGATCTCCCTAAACAAAATTCATTTTAAGGTATAGAAAAAATCATTTTTAGAAGTCATGTTTTCGAAAATCATTTTCCGAATTTCGTGTGTTTCCAAACATTTAATGCATGGAAATCATACCGAGGATACGGTAGGAATGGAGTGTCCAGGACAGCCAATGGGAGAACAGCATAAACACGTCGAACTGGGCCCAGCGGTTGACGAGAAGGGAATCGCTGTCCTGGAATGAGGGGCAGGCTAGCAGGGTTTCGATTGGCTAGCCGAGATCCCGGAGGAACCCCGGGGAACAAACAGAAAGCGAGAGAGAGAGAGGGGGGGGAGGGGAGGGGGGGGGGGGGAGGAGAGAGAAGCAAGCAAATCTCTTACCCTATAGAATCCATCCCGAAACGCCCTCGCCAAGATGTCAGCAGTGAAGATGAGCACGCATATGCCATCAATGGCCCAGACAACGTAGCCGAGGGGCCACCAAACGGCCAGTGTCTGGGGTGTGTGGATGCATACTGTGGCAGGGGTCATTTTCTAGGCTTTGTGCTAACCTGTAAATAGAGAGAGGATGCAGACGGTCTTTAGGGCCGTCTCCACGTAGACATTATCGAGGTAATCTGAAATTTTTGTCATTTTCTAGCGCAGTAAAAATACAAGAGTCCAGAGCCCGGTAAAAGCCGCCTGTTAACGGGTGGCACGCGCGGTTAATCCATGGACTACGCACGGCTCCTCTTTACGCTGCACGTACCTTTATTTGCCGGCCGTTTTGGGGTATTTGTGAGCATATCTGATATGATGGCGATACTTTCCCTAGGTGCAAACTGCGTGCCACCGATTCTGAAATAGGGAGATATTAGAAGAGAGGAGAGAGAAGAGGGGGGGGGAGAGGGGGGGGGGGGGGGGGGGGGGGGGGGGGGGGGGGGGGGGGGGGGGGGGGGGGGGGGGGGGGGAAAGGGGGGGGGGGGGGGGAGGGGGGGGGGGGGGGGGGTGAGAGAAAGAAAGACTATCTGCACTACCTTGTTGAAGAGTTCTTCCTGGCTAGCATCGCCGACGACAGGACGGCCGCCTTGGCCACTGAAAAAAATTATATATTAGAATTTGCCTTCTCAATCCCTTTAATCCGGCTAACTGGCTGATCCAAAGTATTTTAATACCATAATTATACCTTTTTTATAAAACGACAAATTACCATATTGCTCACCATTTTTCTGGCCTTAAAATCGGCTTAATTTATAGGTTTTATAGATTTTCTAGCCTTTCAAGTCTAGCAATACAAGACTAGAATCGTGATATTATTCTTGGAGGGCTAGCCGGGAAGTAGTGGTGGTGTGTGTGATGGACACCTCTTCTGCCGCTTCAAAGTGAGGGGCCCAAAAGGGGGCCCACTCACCCACAAATGGCCATTTCGATTAGAGGGGGGAAGAGGAGGGCCATCTCTCTCTCTCTCTCTCTCTCTCCTCCCTCCTCTCTGACCGACGAACAGACAAAACCTAAACGATTGTGCGGCGTACACCACCGAAAAACCCACTTCTCCACCAGCTTCACCCCGGGAAAAGTTAATGAAATTCCAACGCCTCGTCGCGGTCTCTCTCTCTCGCTCTCTCTCTCTCTCTCTCTCTCTTTCTCATGCTCTCTCTCGCTCCGATTTTAACTGGCCCATCCCACTAAATGGGCCACTTTGGGCTGAGCGGTGAGGATGGCTACGATTTTTGGGCTAGTGCGGTTTTCATGGGACCGGTCAGACGAAATATCCACAACTGACAAACCGTCGCTGCTAGCCAGCCAAGAATGCCTGACCGTTCCCCAATGATCTCTGCAAGGTGGTGATCCAAAGAGCTCTACTTTTGCATCATCGGCAGGGGCATTTCGTCAAAAGGCTAGATAACGAAATACCATAAGGATTCCATAACCGAATATTTTAAAGGTAAAATCTACTATATATCGGATGGAAAACTATAACTTAGAAAATTTAAAAATTCGAACTGGGTCGTGGTATGGTTGGCATAAAAAATATATTCTGCCAGTTTTGAGGTGAATGCCTATAAAATTGCTGAAATTTACCTCATTTTGGCCCAAAAATCACAAAAAAATATAGCAGCAATTTTTTAAAAGTTTTGCGCGTGGAGCGATAGAATCGAAGGGAATGGAAAGGGCGCTTTGGGTATGCGGGGGGCCATGCGAGGCCATAGGAAGGGGGGACACTTCACTCCAACCCCCTGAAATATGGGCCCATCTCGGCCGACTACGCCAGCCACCTATCGACAATCACGCCCTCCGTACGAAAAGGGAAATTCGGGGTTTTTTAAAGGGACGAGTTTAAGGTTCGAAATGTCTAATTTTCACGTAAAAAAATCCCAGAAATCCCTCAAATACTTTGGGAAAAATGCCGACATATTCAAATTTTGACATGCGAAAGAAATTTCGATATTATGATTTTTCGGCGTTCTGAAATTTCGACAGTCCCAAATTTCGGTACCGCGATTTTCGAAATTAGCAATGTCGGCATTATGAAGCTTCGACATTTCCAAATATTCCCCCAAAGGGACAAACTACTGAACGCCCTCAACCTGTCGAAATGCCGGTGCGGTAGATGGACGACGTCTGCGACGAGTGCCGATGGCGTTTCATGTCAAACTTCAGCTCAATCTTCTTCAGGTCGAACGGTATCGTGGAGATCATTATTTGGGGGGCATGAATTAGCAAAAAAATGGGGGAGGTATGGATTTTTGAGAGGCGAGCCTGGGGGAAGGGCTTTTTCGGTCGGCCCATCGCTATAGACCCCCCATGGGCTGATGAATCGAATTATAAGGGGGGTGGAGATATGCCGTGAATACCCCCAGGGGATGAATGCCCCCTTTTTTCTCTATCACTCCTCATTGCCCCAAAAAGACAAATTATTCGGGAGCCCGAAATAAAAATAGTTCTGGCAAACGATTTTGGGAAAGAACCAGAACGAGGAACGCGCACTGCACCCCGGGGGCTGCCCCAAGACGCGCAGAGTGGGCGCGTGGTGCCCGTATTGGGCAAAGCCCTCTGGGGTGGGGCCCCCCCCTTCCCACTGGCCCTGTGGTAAGTGGCTAGCGCGTCGGACTGTGGAGCGAACCATCGCGGGTTCGACCCCGCCCGGTGCGCAACTTTCTTGCTCTAAACGATATTTCATCGCTCTGACGGTTTTAAAGGGGCTGGGACTGGGGGAAATTCGATGCTGGTAAGCGACGCAACGTTTAAAGGAAACAGGCAGTACTTTTCTGCACGAGTTCCAGTAATGACCCTGACAGCCAAAATCGGATCTTTTATGTCGGGATTATGGTTGTCGCTGCTTTCGCTGTCGGCATTTTGCCCGCCGGACATATGCCGGTCGGCATTTTTCTGTCTGGATTAGGGCTGTCGGGATTTCTGCGTTTTCTTTTACGTAATATTCTGTCCGCACTATTTTAATTTTTGAGAAATTTCCAAAATTGTTACCTTTAAAGGGGTCGGGACACGTCAAAGATCCGAATTTTTCATAAATTGCTGTATTTTCTCGTTTGAAAGGGACTGTATGAGGTGTTTATGAGCGCATGCGACGTAGCCAAAAATTTCAAAAAATTTACTTTTTCATAAGTACTTACGAATAAGGTTTTTTAAAGGTACTGAGAAGTAGATGGGCAGAGTCTTTTCCGCATTAAAAAAGAATTTTTCTCTGGGCTTTTAAAGGTACCAGGAAGTGAAAAACCCAGGCTGTACATTAAGAGGAATCAAGATTTAGAGGTAAAAATTAAAGATTTCGCGCTTAAGGGATGGGCATTGATTCATTCAGGAACAACGAAGGGAGCTTTCACGTCTCAAAAGCGGGATACCGTAGATTTGGAGGCGTCAGCGATCCCACGTATGCAAATTAACCGACCGGGATTAATGAACGGCAGCAGCAGCAGTCCAATCTCAACCCCCCGACATGGGGTTGCTCTTTCCCCCTCCATATCGGGGGTCAATCCCAATTTCCTGAGCACCATCACTCAGCAGGCCCTGGAGCTGAGCTTCAGCAGTCAGAACAGACTCCCCATCCGACTGCTGTCAGTTCTGGGTACGAGGGAGAACGCGCTGACATTTCCGGCGGGGGATGGGGCCGCAGCAGGGGAGCATGGAATTTGGCAAAAATCTGGCAGGCTTGGGTATTTTAGAGGGTTTGCTATCAAAACGCCGAAATTTAGAATACCGAAATACCAGGATGTATTGAGGTGATGAAAAATCAATAGGCATAAAAATGCCTTGCCTGCCCCTTTAAAAGCGTCGCAATATAAATTAAAATTCTTATACATTTTTGTCAATCATCAATTCAACGCTTAACGGGATTAATGTTAACGGTTAGGATTACCGAAACCCGTGATACCTACCCGATCTCTTCTGCGTGACGATGAGACTGCGTTTTCGGTCCTGCGGGCCGGAGGGAGGGCCCGAGCCCGACCCCCTTGAAGACGTCAACATCATCTTCGCGATGATCTATCGCTCTCGCATTCCCCCAACCCTTTAAAGGGACGTGTAACCGGTAGAAACAAGAAAAGACGAGCAAAAGGTAATTAGAATGGATATAGTTAGATCAAGGGAGGAGCAGAGGAAAGCAAGCCAGCAGGGATTCTTGAGGACCAACAAGTGTTGGTAAGTTCTGAGTCAAAAAAGGATCTCGCGACGACCAGCTGCAGCTGCACCGGAAGGGTTTTGTGGTAGGGGTTGATTGGGAGGGTTGGTTGTTTGTATGTAGGTCTCTCTCTCTCTCTCTCTCTCTCTCTCTCTCTCGCTCGGTTTCGGAAGAAATCCCCGGAGGGCGGGCCATCCTCATCCAATTAGCACTGACTTCTGCCAACTCGCAACATTGCGACCAGCGGATAGAGTGAGAGAGGAGAGAGAGAGCGAGAGCGAGCGAGAGAGAGAGAGAGAGAGCGAGCGAGAGAGTGAGAGAGAGAAATATTTCATCTGATAAAGCGTTTAAAGGGGCACGTACTCGCGACGTTATGCAAAAATAATGTGAAAATGACGCGAGACGAACGCGGCTTTCGAAAAAACAGCACCCGGAAAACTTGGCGGGGATGGGTCTCAAAGGCCCTGAGGGGCCATAATCCAGCATCAGTGGAATGTTGTGTGGATTTGCGGCTGAAGAGAGAGAGAGAGAGAGAGAGAGAGAGAGAGAGAGAGAGGGAGGAGAGAGAGAGGGAGGGAGGAGAGAGAGAGAGAAGCATAACGCGCCAGATAGTGTCGTGGCAGGCGGCCATTACTTAAGGCATGGGGGAGAAGCCGGGAGGCTTCTCTTTGCCGCCCGTCTTTTTTCAACCCCCTAATTGGTGGGGTTCTAATGAAGGGCTGACGGCTCGAGGACTCGCCGCGCCACAAATCATTTATTCTGTCGGTGAGGACTCAATTCCTCAATGGTCACGGCCAGCTTGCCCCTAGATCTCTCTCTCTCGCTCTCTCTCTCCCTCTCTCTTTCTCTGACTCACTTTCTAGCCCATTCTCATTCAGTTCTGCATCACGATCTCCCCAACCAGCAAAAAATACACAAAGAAACGCTGCTAGCTGCCCTCAAAATTGTCAAAATTCTAATGCGCAAAAATAACGATAAAAACAAATCTCTAAGCTGGAAAAATAACTGCGATCCACCCAGCCCAACGGCGTGTCGTTTGCGGAAATGGTGCCCTCCTCTCCCTCCCCCTCCCGAATCGGGTGCCTTTCACCGAGTGTGTCCAACAAGCTCTGGAGGGGAGCTGAGGAAGAAGCTGAAAAAGTCAGGGCTCTCTTTGGTCCTCCGAAGAGGGGGGGACGAGTTGAATTCGATTCTGCCGCCTTTTGCTAAGAGGAGCATCAGAGTCCGATGGGGGATGTGGACAGATAGATGGACAGCAGGGAGACAGACAGACAAATTGATGGCTAGGGATCAAATGTTTTTGGAAATTTGTTAGGCGGAACACTGGGTTTTGGCCAAAACCTAGGATCCCGCTCAGCTTCCCAAGCTCATGCTCAAACCAAAAATTAAGCGAAATAGCCCGGAACAATAGTTAAAAAATTTTCAGTCTGGTGTAGTTGCGGAGGCAAAAATAGCGCTTCTATCTCATTTATCGCTTTGGCTCTTTATCTTTCTATCTCACTCTCTCTCTCTCTCTCTCTCTCAACTCTCTCGCTCTCTCTTTGGCCAAATTATGCTCCCCTCGGCGGGTGGATGTG